TAATTTAGGATGGAAATGTGGCGCAGATAATAATTTAGGATGGACATGTGACACAGATAATACTTTAGGATAGAAATGCGGCCCAGATGATGATTTAGGATAACCATGCGACACTAGCTCAGGATGGACATGTGGCACAGATAATAATTCAGGATGGGTATGTGGTACACTTATAACTCTGGATGGATATCTGGCACAGATACTAATTTTTGATCGGCGTGTGGCACAGACAATGATTTAGGTGGACATGCGGCACGGTGGACGTGACGGCCGCTCATCTAGCCGCTTATCTGGCCGCTCATCTAGCCGCTCATCTAGCCGCTTATCTAGCCGCTCATCTAGCCGCTCATTTAGCCGCTCATCTAGCCGCTCATATAGCCGCTCATCTAGCCGGGAAAAGATCGAGATGAGACACAGACTCCAGCACATCTCGACCATATTCTCTACCAGGGTGCACTAGACTTCAAAAGACCGATTACGAATGTCCCTATAACGTATTATATTATTGTTGTTGTATTTGGCTACAGTTTACACCGTCCGGGCATCATTATTCTACGCCGTCGCTGGCAAGAGCGGAGCCATCAAACGGTTCTTGCTCCCGCCGCAGAGGCACGGCCATTCGTAGTCTAGTGGGAGGCTTGCAACAGTGATTTTTAGCTCCTTCCTACAAACAGCAGAGCAGTATTTTGCTACTATACGAGCAGGGACAAGTGGTTTTGGCTCTCTATACATCTTTCGGCATTCACCCGAAGTCAAGACGCACCCCTGTTCCGCTTGGTGTCCACCGCTGCAGACAGCCTGAGAGAGTCTACTGCCTGTCGCCGGAGCAACAGCAACTGTATCCGCTTACACTGATACTGACAGCCGTGCCGCTGGTCCAGGGGCGGTGCCACCGTGGGAGCAACTGCAACAGCAACTGTATCCACTCGCATTGGTACTGAGAGCCGTGCCGCTGGTCCAGGGGTGGTGCCACCGTGGGCGCGTGGGGTAAGGGGGAAGTCGGTCCCTTAAGCCAGGATGTAAACATTTCATTAATGTACGTATTATTTGTTGTCAAATATTTAGCATAAGTTGGTGGTTCGTGTGAAAGAGCTCGTTAGTTTTCCAGAGGACCATCGACTTGATTCGAAAACAGACGTTGAAAAAGGAAGAGTATTAGCCAAAGAGTTGCAAAATGAAGGGAAGAGAGGCGTTGGAAGGGCGGCGCCGCACACTCCGAAGTCGTCGTCGTCGTCGTCGTGACCGCGGACGCTGCTCGCGTTGAGCCGCGCCGTCGGAGCCTGAACGTGGACTGATCGGCAGGGACCGTGTGTCCCCACCCGCGTGTTCCATAAACCCACGTGGCCCACATATGGACTCCAGATGGTGAGGACTAATCGACAGAGGGGCCGCTCACACCGTCGCGGAGACGTCGCTGCTGCACCGGCAGCGGCGGCCCGTTTGCTCGCTAACATCGGCAGCACACATACATACATACATACATATATATATATATATATATATATATATATATATATATATATATATATATATATAAATAAACATATGTGTGAGTGTGTGTGTGTGTGTGTGTGTGTGTGTGTGTGTGTGTGTGTGTGTGTGTGTGTGTGTGTGTGTGTGTGTGTGTGTGTGTGTGTGTGTGTGTGTGTGTGTGTGTGTGTGTGCATGCATGTTTATATTTTTCGTTGTGATATATTAATCATTATAAAGCTCAGGAGTCCGACCATGCTGGCAGAAGGGCCCAAATTACTGAAGCTGAACATGCCATCAATTCAGAATGGGGACCCTTGAGATACTTAGGAGAAAATAGCCCTCATTATATGCGATTTGTTGTGCTACCATGTTACCAGACAGGTCACGGTGGCGGTCAGAAAATTGCCTAGAAATGACCAAATATATCTTTGTTGACAGCAGCTGCGTTGAAATAATTGCGAACGTTTGTATTTAATAATACGTTGTTACATGATTATTGCATGGAATGTCATTATAGGTATAAACACGCTTAAAAAGAGTGTTTCACATTTGAAATGCGTGGCGAATGAGCTTTTCAATGCGTCATGGTTAGATAACGTCATACTACTTTGCACAACATTGATTGAGAGCCAACTGAGGGCCGTTATATCTGGAAATTGCGCTCACCAGCGCCAGATATGAGCGCCTCGACAGTCGTAGTTTTCTCGGCTTTCATCGCCACATGGCTTATGGAATGGCGGGGTATGAATGACGTTGTTACAATGTCAAGAATGCTAATGCGACTTTGAAATACTCTCCCGATATACCTTTTCTCATTTTCGCGGGCGTGTAGCTCAGAAACTAGAGGGGCAGAGGGGCATAGGTCTTAAGAAGGACAGGGCTATGAACAGCACCAAATGGTCTTCAAGTTCGTTATTTTTGTTCAAAATTCCATACAAATGTGGAACACTCCCTTTAATCCATGAGAACTATATGTAAATGCCCGTAGTTCATAACCGGACAGCAGTTAGCTTTACATCAGCTTCACGCAATATGTGCCGGTCGCCGACACGAACCGCGTTTTGTGATGCATCGTACAGACATTTGGACAGCCCGACTAGTCATGAATGACATAAGGCTTGTTATCGAATTATTCAAGAATAGCGCCGTAACTGAAAATGTGAATGCAAGTAAAGATTACAAAAGCACAGGCAAATGCACAAGAACACCGCGAAAAACGGGTCGATACACGCGCACATAATAATCGTCGGGTGTATCACGCGCACATAATAATCGTCGGGTGTATCACGCGCACATAATAATCGTCGGGTGCATCATGCGCGCATAAATTAATAATCCCCATTGCGGCCTGCTAAACCACTTGCTACAAGTGGATCATCCCGTTCCTTGCAGCGGCAATTCTGACACGACGAGTGACACGACACGAATGTGACACAAATCTGACGTTATAGAAGCGTTCTGTGACGTAATCTAACGATGCCGTATTAAGGGACATATTTACTAAAAAGGGAAACTGTATTTTCTAGAGCAGTATGTTGCATTTAAAACACACATAAAATGAGAAGTTGAATTCTTCATCATGCATCATAAATCATGCTATTTGGGTCGAATATGGCCAAACAAGGTCAAACTCAGCAAAAATGTGTCAAAAGTGCTCTCACACGTCATGCAATAACCTTGAACCCTGTTCTTCCTTCCTTCCTGTTCTAAAAAGGTCACTGGTGTTAATTTTTCTTCAGCGGCCTTTTCTAGACCTGTTTGACCTTGACAAGGTCAGGGTGACAAGCACCTCTGACATTGTTTTGATTTTCAATTTCAATAAGCTTATTTAAATAAATACAATTTACATAAGCGTTAAGAATTACGCTGGATGGTACGTTTCTGAAAGCGAGGTGTTGATCAGGGTTATTTCAGGTTAGCGACATACTCTGAATCCTAAGCAGTTCATGGAAGATGTCTGTTGTGGTCCCTGCCATCAAAAAATTCGAAATGAGCATCAAAAACTACCCCATGGATTAAGCTGTCCAACAATAAAAGCGAGTGGACTTTGGCCTTGATCTGGCCTTCATAACTGGCTCTAAACCGATGGCGTTTGCTCCAATCCTAAAAAAAAAATATTGTATTGCCTAGGGCACTGCTACCTCAGAGATGTATGGCTTCGTCTGATACTCTGCCGTCGCATCGGGTTTAACGACTCCCTACAAAGTGCGTTCGGTGACAGCCACGGTCTGACTTCGACCTGTCATAGGTCAGCGACCTCAAAAGGTTCTTATAATTTTGTTGCACCAAAACACTATTTGACTACCTATAGCTATTCAAAGTTCGGGGTGGGAAATCATTTTGTAAAACCTACTAGACTCAAATTGACCCATACCCAAGCGCGGCTAAGTCGCGGTTGCGGTCAGTCGCTGATGAATTTATATTTCATCGAAGATGTATCATCAGTGGTGGTTGGTCCAAGGCTGTCAAAGTGAACGAATGTCCGGGCTAAAAGCGAAGTGCAAGGCGCATGGAGGTAAGATGCGCCATGTTGGCCTTGATTGCACAGCGTTAGTTGCAACAAAAAGCTACCAAACGAATACTCACCACCCAGGCCGCAGCTCACGCTTGCGGTCTGTGTTAAAGGCTATGTAAACCGGGCTGAGAACGGGGCCCTGCAACAACGCGGCCAACAACGGGGCTAACGGGGCCCTTTAGGAGGCCCCAGGTAGCCACCATCAGGTCCCATCGGTCGGCACAGATGGCAACCAAAGGAGGCTATCAGATTCATGCAGGATTCTTTATAGAAAACCCAGGAAGCCCTGGTCTCCTGATAGCCCAAGAGAAGGCCATGACAAGGGAGATTCGATACCACACCAGGCCAAAAGAGGTTGTATTCAGTTATATATACCAAAGAAGTTTTGTTGACACAGTGGGAAATCAGAGTGCATTTTAGATAGGAATGTGATAGAAGGATCTCGTGTTTGCTTAGAAGATCCTTAGATCTAATTGCCCATCTGTGCCCCTTAGAAAAAGTCGATGGCTATGCTCCCACCCCTACCCCCAGCCCCGTTTTACACAATGGCAGTACAGTTGATTGGGATCGTGATTACATGCTTTTTGGGCGTATATAACAAATCTTCGTGTAAGTTTGGTCTATGCGCCCCTCACCAACGAGGACCATTGACTGATTAACGGTAACCTTTAAGTCCACTGTGCGTGGCAGAGGTCGATGACCTTCTCCAATAAATTTCGACTCCTGTTCCACTATCCATCCACCTACCATTCATCCGCCCTCCACCTGCCCGCTCCACCCGCTCCACCGCCCTGCCCGCCATCCACCTCTGCTGCGCCTGACGGGTTGATAACCACCAGTCATTACCCCGAGCAGCGGTGCGCGTCTGAGGAGGCTGGTGGCTATCTTCAGGGACGCGGACGTTCGCTGTGTGTCACGGGGGTCAGTGACCGCCGTCGGTAGCCGTGGGCCGCTTCGCGAGGCCGCGGCCCGTGATCGTATCCGCTGGCTTGAGCCCCACTGTGCGTTGCAGAGGCCGCTTTCTGGAGTGTTCCGCGCTTGACAATACCAACATCAGCGAGATCTTCCGCACGTTCCTGTCGCTGGGCGACATTCCGCTGCCCTGCGCGGCGACAGTGAAGCGGCAGCTGTCGCTGCGCTTGTCGCGACGTCGCGGCGACAGTCCGTCGTCCGACGGCCGGGCTGGCGGCGCCGAGGTGAGCGGACGACGCGAGGGAGGGTTCGAGACCGGGTGGGTGCAAAATTTGGGAGATGTGGTGCTGCGACGAAGGAAATTCGAAAAGCGGCAGCAGTTCGTTTCCTCATCACGGCAGTAAATGCCTACAGTGGTGGAAATATTCGGCACCGCCGCTGTTGGGCTTAGTTTGCGGCGCATTGAGCCGCTTCCACTGGTTTGATCGCCCAGTGGCTGTCAGATTTAGACGGGCAGACCAACATGGACGTCGGGGCAAGAAGGGATGGCTGAAGTAACGTACCGGTGATGCCGGCCGAAGTGCGTGTTGTTACGTTGACCAGCAGGCCGGCGAGAGCAGTCGAGACTGGGCCGACGCCAGGCCGGCTGGACGGCGTGCTGACGCTGGTTGCCGTTCAGTGCTGATTTGCAAGACGCTCGAGGCTGATGGACATGGATGAATAACAGCTATTGCGGCCCGTCTCATGCGAGAGACCCTACAGCTTACCAATAAGCTTACAGCTTACCAATAATAATGTTACCAACAATAATGCTGTGGTCTCAACAGGTCAGTGGTCCTTTAAAGAATATTCACATCAAGTGGGTGGTTCTTATTTTGCTGAACAAGTACTACGCGGACTGGCAGAAGCAGAAGCCGTGGCCAGCGCCAGCGCTTACGGTTCCAGTGTTAACCTTCTCTGACCGTTTCAGGCGAACGATCCTGTGACGTTCAGAAAAGCCCGCAGCAAGAGCTTGATCCGGCGATCGTCCCGGAAGAAAAACAAGCCAACCGAGTTAGGGGACGACCAGTGCGGAGTGCAGTAGCGGTGGTCTCCGATAGATGGCAGCAGTGTAGCGCGCCGATAAATGGCAGGGTCATACCGCCGACCGGCGCAGCACAGAGTATCCGCGGTCTCCAACAGGTGGCAGCAGTGGCCAATTGGCTCGTCGGGGAACGACGCCATGATGCCGAAGCCCGGCAAGACTTGCTGTTCCGCCGGTGCCCGACAGATGGCGCGATATGCGGAATGTGGAACGCGAAGAGCGCGAGGCCACAGTGGCCCCAGTTCATAGCTTTAAGTGGACTATTTCATGATTCGCTCATGGCAGCGACGTTGTTTACGTGACAGTGTTCTCGTTGCCGAAAGACCCTTCTCCGCATCTGACCATCCTTCTTTCCCCTTTCCCCGCTTAAACTTGTGCGCACTTTGTGCGCACGCACAAACCCCAAAGAATGGTGCCTTGTGCGCTACGGCTCACAAGCATAGGCCTTCTACGGTGGTCCAGCATTGCCCCAGCACTTAATCTCCTAAAAGATGGCTCCTTCAAAGGGCTCTCACTCAAACTAAGCAAAGCCACACCTTTCACCGCCAGGGGCTCAAGTCACGCAAGTGAGTCAGACACAATGTGACAACGTGATGTAAATGCCAGAAGACAACATATCCAAAACGACACGGTGTGTATGTACTGTGTATTGAACGTGAAGTGGATAGTTTTGATTGGGTAAATGTTGTTCGACACTTACGCAGTGTAGTGGTGGGGACTACTAATTCTTATCTTGCACTTTGAGAACGGTCAGATATTGTATTGTTCGTTCGCAATTTTCGGGTCACGTTTACCATCATGTAAGACCCGTTTTAGCTCAAGGGTATCTGATGTATTTCCACACTGTCTAGAGACGTTTCTCAATCCGCTTGATGCACGAGCAGATTTCAAATGATCCGTATCAGCATGCACGGCTGCCATGTTCATATTTGCAACGCTTGTTGAACGCAGAACACCTCAATTTCACGTTTTGTGGCTTTAAGGCGACGCCACTTTTATTTAGTACTTATCAAGTATTTTTTAAACGTATTTTTATTAAGTATTTTTTAGCCTTGATCACCCATGGTAGAGGCTTTGGGTTCTTCTTGTTGCAGAACCTAAAAAACGGATAAAACAAATCATTCAAGATTAGTGAAAGGTGACAATCCGGGTCACTGAAGGCAAAACAAAATCAAATTTCTGCCTGCCTGATAGTCTGACTGTGCTGCTCACGATCGCAACCATTGCAATGAAGTCGCACGCCAGGCAACACACAAAAAAATGTCAAATATGTCCGTCGATTTTTTCAGCGTCTTTTACCGATTTGAGAGAAATGGGCCTGGAATGGCCACCTTCCGCTTCCTCTTCCGCTTCGAACTTCCTCTCGCTCTGTTCTTTGCATAGTGTCCGAGTGCTTCAGTGCATTGGGTGATAGAAGTCCTCCCAATTTGGGGGGGGGGGGGGCGGACCAAAAGTACATTTTTAGTTAATTTACAGTCAGCGTTTATTCGGTCAATATGACACTTCCATAAAGTTAGGAATTAAGCCACGTAGACCATCCCGGGCCGCATAGTTTATGTACCCCAGCGTGTTGCATGCTTTCCCTTGCACTGATGCTTGTGCCTGGCTTTAAACCTGACCCCAGACCCCAACCTGACTGACGTGTCGCGAGCAATCCACAGGCAGACCCATAGCTCATTGTAGCTCCATCAGACAGTCTCGGTCGGGCACAGCCTCAGTGGAGGGACTCAGGCGCCAGGTCAGGTCAGGTCAGGCCAGGTCAGTGCTTAGCCAGGTCAGGTCAGGTCAGGCCAGATCAGTACTTAGCCAGGTCAGGTCAGGTCAGGCCAGATCAGTGCTTAGTCAGGTCAGGTCAGGTCAGGCCAGATCAGTGCTTAGGTCAGGTCAGGTCAGGCCAGATCAGTGCTTAGTCAGGTTTGCTCCTTCAGCTGGACTCCAGCCGACGCAGTTCCGTCATGTGGACTCGGCTAGGCAATCTCGATCAGGCGGACTGGGCCAGGCGGACCTCGATCAGGTGGACTGGGCCAGGCGGACCTCGATCAGGCGGACTGGGCCAGGAGGACCTTGTCAGGCAGACCGGGCCAGGCGCAGAGTTGATAGACGGACTCGGCCGCGTCCGGTGCCTTCATTGTGGTCACACCGTGGCACGACTCCATTCGCATCGAGGCTCTGGTGACGCAGAGTCGGGACTGGGGCCGCTTTTTGCGACGCAGAGTCGGAAATTGGGCTCCTTCCTGTGGCGCAGAGTCGCGGCTGGGACTCCTTTCTATGGCGCAGAGTAGGGACTGGGACTCCTTCCTGTGGCGCGGAGTCGGAATTGGGTCCACTTTCTGTGGCGCAGAGTCGGGACTAGGGCTCCTTTCTGTGGCGCAGAGTCGGGAGTGGGACTCCTTTCTGTGGCGCAGAGTTGGGGCTGGGTCTGCTTTCTATAACGTAGAGTCGGGACTGAGGCTCCTTCCTGTGGCGCAGAGTCGGGACAGGGGCCTCTTTCTGTGGTGCAGAGTCGGCACTGGGGCTCCTTTCTATAACTCGTAGAGCCGGGACTGGGGCTCCTTTCTGTGGCGCAGAGTCGGGACTGGGGCTCTTTCCTGTGGCCCAGAGTCGGGACTGGGGCTCCGTTCGGCTGGGGGAGATGTCGTGCGATGCGGCCCGTCACCATGATGGTCGCGTCTGCAGTTACTTGAAATAAAACTTGGTGTTTTGTACGTCGCTGGGAGCGCTGTGGTACTGCTGGGGTGCCGCTCCGCTGTAGTGCCGCTGTGGTGCCGCTGTGTGCCGCTGTGGTGCCGTTGTGGTGCCACTGTGTGCCGCTGTGGTGCCACTGTGTGCCGCTGTGGTGCCGCTGTGGTGCCACTGTGTGCTGCTGTGGTGCCGCTGTGGTGCCGCTGTGGTGCCGCTGTGGTGCCACTGTGTGCCGCTGTGGTGCCGCTGTGGTGCCACTGTGTGCCGCTGTGGTGCCACTGTGGTGCCGCTGTGGTGCCGCTGTGTGCCGCTGTGGTGCCGTTGGTTCCACGTCGCCGCCGTAATGGGCTTGTGTCATGTGCCGGTATGTTACTTGGCTCTGTGTTTTTTCCGGAAGTGTTGGTCGCTTACGTTGGATGAGTGTTACAGGTGACTGTGTGTCCTGAACGTAGATTAATTGCGGTGTTCGTATTCGTTATTGGGTCTTGACGCTGCAGTGATCGCTGACTCTGGTGACATGGCTACGATCCATATTTTTGTGTTGAGGATGGTCGTATGATACCAAATGCAGGGCTGTAAAATATTATCAAAATGAGAATGCTTCTCGTGATCGATTTTCGTCTTATATTTGCACCTACTTTTGAGCACCGTCATTATGCTGAATAAATATCCAGCTCACTAGAAATATCTTCCAACGCCTGCAGCTTGCAAAAGTCGTTCCACGGAGGGCCAGCCACGAAAATCCCATCCGATGCCGAGAACTGCTCTGCTCTCTGCTTATCTCAATGGAAGCGACCGCAAAAAATGCACCGCGCAATATGTAAGCGTTGTTTGCCGCGCAAAATCCAGCTGTTTCCAAAAAGAAATGCATTCAACGATGACGCGTGATCCACCGCCAGTCGAAGCAAGAGTAGGGGTCGGGCGCTAAGACCTCCCAGACTAAGACAGCTCCGTTAGATAGTCCGATCTTACCCTGCCGCCCCATTGTCAGGTCACAAGAAAACGACGGAACGCGGAAGCGTGGCGAGTACTCTCCGGCCAAACTCGTGGTCAGTTCTTTCCGGCCATGTAGCTACAATGTCAGACGCCCACGAACAGATACGGGTCATGGCTTTCCTCCCCTTGTCCCACGCTTGTAGCAAAGGACACCCGTTGAGAGGCGGGAAAAGGGTCGAGCTGTCGTGGACGGGGCCGGCGCGCAGACAGCGCACAAAAACCAACCAGACAGCAAGGCCCAGGCGCCCGCCAGCGGGGCGCAATCACGTTATTAAGAGTCCGAGAAGCCTCAATACCAGCCCGATCGATCGGGCGCTGGCCGAGATTGAGAGCGGCGCCTGTGTTGAGCGCGCCGGCTGTGGTCCGGCAGCCCGCTGGCCGCCCGTCGGACCGCGCTGGCCACGGCGGTGACGGGCCTGCCGTGTCCGACTCGGCCGAGCCCGGCGGCCCGTTAGCCACGGCGGTGACGGGCCTGCCATGTCCGACTCGGCCGAGCCCGGCGGCCCGTTAGCCACGGCAGTGACGGGTCTGCCGTGTCCGACTCGGCCGAGCCCGGCGGCCCGTTAGCCACGGCGGTGACGGGCCTGCCGTGTCCGACTCGGCCGAGCCCGGCGGCCCGTTAGCCACGGCGGTGACGGGCCTGCCGTGTCCGACTCGGCCGAGCCCGGCGGCCCGCTAGCCACAGCGGTGACAGGTCCGCCGTGTCCGACTCGGCCGAGCCCGGCGGCCCATATGACCGCCACTGCGGTCAAAGAGCGCGAAGCGCGACCTTCGGCGGGCGGTTCGACACAAGGGTCGGGCTCCTGGCATGTCATGAGTAGTTACCGTGCTGGATACCGTCAGCCAACAAACGGCCTTATCCGGCGTCTACGCTATGATGACCCCCCAGACGCATTAACACTCCAAGGTAAATGAATGGCCCAATGGGAACAGCGACCTTATAAATAAAGCTCGCGCACCTGACAAAGGGCCCCGTCGGGTGGAGTGTTTCAAAAGTCATTAGAGCACGTTTCTTAGCTTCATTTTCACGGAATTAGGGATGATGGCGTCCTCGAGCATTAAATAAAACAAAAGAATCGCTCTGAATCGTTTGCATGGGCGAGCGCCAATTAGAAAGAGGTCACTTTCCAAGCCGAGCTCACTTCGCACACACTGAACCCGTCACTCAATTGAGCCGCGGCAGTCCAGCCGGGTTGTTTTGCTGGGGCTTCGTTACCGAACATAAGTGGAGAGGATTTTACGCGATTTAAAATTTTAGCACACGAGCGCCACGAGCCAGGTTGTCCCCCTGGCTCGTTGCCGGCAGACCTACAAGTGTCAGT